ATATGTTCTCTTGGCCAATCCCCTGGAGTGGGTATGAGCCATGGAATAGAGGCAACAAGCAAACAAATAATAATACTGGCGGGATACATCAACGTAAACATCATAGAGGACACCTCACTTACACACCATAAGGCATCTCAATATGCTCTCTAACGCGTATAATTCGATTATCTACAACCAACGGCTATCCCAAGAACCACTGTCGCTTCAGTTCATTGACGAACTGATTATAATGAAGGGTTAACGGAAGCAGCTTCTCACTACCACGTATGGCGAAGAATTATGTTGTGTATATACCCTGCCGCCACCGTGTTTGTCCCGTATTTACTCTGATCTCACAGGTATTAACAAAAACTTGTAAATTTTGCCCCCTCACTTCGTCTCTACACGTTGTGATCGTGACTGTAAAGTACTTGAAACTCGATGCCGCGCAAATGTGTTTCAATATTCATTTTTTCCTCACACCTCCCCACTTTAGAACATACTTTATAAAGGTAAAACTAATTGCAAAACACTCTCCTAAATCCAGCCGTTTTTACATTAAATTTCCGTGACCTATAAACCAACTGTCCCCTGGTTTTCGCTTCTGTGTTCTTTTATTTATTTTCTTTCTTTTCTTCTCTTGATGAGATTGTGCCGGAATCATGTGTCGCCACTTTTCATTGTCGCATACACCGCTTCTGTTATTAGCTCATGTTTTTAGTTTTGTCTTTGTGTAAACAAATATTTTTACGCCATTAATTTCTCTCATGTTACCCCTTTGCAATATTGCCCTCGTGGCGCTGCAGGTACATGTATAAATGAGAAAAATAATGTACGGAAGTTAATTATCTCACGAGGCTTCGCCCACTTGACATCATTCACTTCGTGAACATTCTGTGATTACTTTAAGTAATGTCAATACCATCAGAGTCGAGGATTCAAGGCGAATAAATTATTGTAATTAATAACCTAATCAAATTACCATTGCTGTTGTCCATGCGCCAAACAACTTCAATTACGGCACTCAACAGTTGCCGTATAACTTCTATGATATCTGTGTTTCTCCTTGTAATGTTCTTATCTTGCAAACACCACAGTAAACAATAGAACTTTGAATTGTGGCCCCGCCGCGGTGGTCTAGTGGCTAAGGCACTCGGCTGCTGACCCGCAGGTCGCGGGTTCGATTCCCGGCTGCGGCGGCTGCATTTCCGATGGAGGCGGAAATGTTGTAGGCCCGTGTGCTCAGATTTGGGTGCACGTTAAAGAACCCCAGGTGGTCAAAATTTCCGGAGCCCTCCACTACGGCGTCTCTCATAATCAAATGGTGGTTTTGGGACGTTAAACCCCACAAATCAATCAATCAATCAATCAATCAACTTTGGATTGTGGAGCAGCCTTCGCCTAAGTGATGTACAGGTATTCAACGGTAGAAGCACTTACAACGAACGCTAGCGTGTCAAAAAATGACCCCGCATCTGCATGGTATATCGCAAAGGCCACCGAAAGACGAGTCTTGCGTCTGGACAGAATGAACAAAACATTTATTGTATATTCTGCGCAAGAAAGTTGGTGAAAGGTATTCTAGAGGCGCTGCGTTAGAGTGCCTCGAGCGTGCGGCGGAGGCGAACGATCACATCGAGGCACGTTAGTCGCGAGCGCCATCTGCCAGTTATCTTCGAAAACGAAAGAAGGCATGCGCGCCTGCCGCAAAAGATGCGTACCATTGTCGGAGGTGATGAAATGTACACCGCAAAGTGACGGGTAGTTGCCGCTACCATGTTGTTTCAGCAAACCGCTGGTAACACTTGCCTTTTTCAGCACCACGTTGCGCTGTCAGTGCAGCGTGTTTAATGCTACGGTCCTTAAAATTACTTGTGTGTGCCTTCTCTAGTATAAAGGCACACATACAAAACATCGACGGTTTGTTATAGTACCTTTGCTATGCGCAATGATTGCTTTTTGATTGACAATTGAACAAATATGAACGCTGAATCTGGAGCAATACTGGTGGGTGCTGCGGATGGGGTCGGCCATTCGAGGTATCGTTAAGGGCGGACAAACAGACAAATAGACAGACAGACAGACAGACAGAAAGACAGAAAGACAGACAGACAGACAGACAGACAGACAGAGAGACAGACCGAAATTTTTCCGTCGAAAGTCCGCAAGAAAGACTGTCGTCTTTAAAAACTGTTTCTGCCTCATTAAAGACTGGTAAGAGCTGGTGCATGAACAAGAGGCGTAATACAATATGCGATATCACCATAGAAACAATGTATCCCTAGTTCGCGAGAGCGAAGACATTTCAGCATTTTTTTAAAAGACGATAGTCTTTCTTAAGGACCTTCAAAGCTAAAATCTTGGTCTGCTTGTCTTTATGTCTGTGTGTCTGTACATTTGTCTGTTTGTCCGCAGTAATGATTTCTTTTATGGCACCATATGTGACCAAACGATACCTCAAACGGCCAACCCCATCCACAGCACCCACCAATATTGCACAAGTTTCAGCGTTCACAGTTGTGCGATTGTCAATTAAAAAGCAGTTATTGCGCATTTCTGAGGCGCCACAACAACGCTTCGTTGTTTTCTGTGTCTGTCTTTATACTAGAAGAGGCACACACAAGTAACTCAAAGGAATGTAGCGTTTAATCGCGCTGCGCTGACAGTGCAACGCAATGCTCAAAAAGTCAAGTGTTGTCAACGCTTTGCTAAGACGAGGCAGTGGTGGCACCTGCTCTGCCACGTTGGTCTTGTAGCTAAGGTACTCGGCTGCTGACCCACGGGTCGCGGAATCAAATCCCGGCTGCGGCGGCTGCACTTCCGATGGAGGCGGAAGTGTTGTAGGCCCGTGTGCTCAGATTTGGGTGCATGTTAAAGTACCCCAGGTGGTCAAAATTTCCGAAGCCTTCCACTACGGCGTCTCTCATAATCGTATGGTGGTTTTGGGACGTCAAACCACTCATATCAATCACGCAGTGGTGGCACCTGCCCGTCGCTTTGCGTTCTACACCTTATCGTCTCCAAGGCAGGCGCATATCTTTCTAAGAAGGCACACACACCTTGCTTCGTTTTCGAAGATAAGTGTCAGATGGCACTCGTGTCTAACGTGCCTCGATGTGCTCACTAGCCTTCACTGCACGGATCGAGACTCTCTAACGCAGCGTTTCCAGAATACAATTCACCAATTTTCTCGAGCAGAACAAGATATAAACGTTTTGTTGACTCTCTCCACACGCAAGAGTATCATCTTTCAACGACATTCGCAATGAAACATGCAGGTACAGCGCCAGTTTTTTTTTCGTCGTACTATTGCAACAAAATGAACCTATTTTATCAACTTGACATTGTAATTTCTTTATTATAGCTATATTTTTAATGTTTTGCCAATACTATTCACCCTATACATTCCCGTAACATTAATTCTGCTTCTGTAGTTTTTTTTCTCTTGGCGCTCAGTATATGTACTATTTCTTTTTGCGTTAAAGTTCATTGCCCACAGTTGTTGATAGTATATAGTAAATAATAAATAGCCATAAAACAACTTATAATAAATAATATATAACATCAAAAACTACAAGAAATAGTCAGCAACTAATAATAAACAATAAATTGCCTAGAACAACCAAACGCGTCCGCATTGGTACAGAATAATTGTTTCACGCAGCTTGTCGCTCACTTTGCGTTGCAGTTTAATTTTTTGAACTAGAATATTTTTGAACATATCAACACGAGTCTGGAAGCGCCTCCTCTCCTCATTGAAGGCAAAAGATTAGAACTACGACTACTACTACTACTACTACTACTACTACTAATAATAATAATAATAATAATAATAATGTCACGTGCAGTCTTGAAGCACCTCCTCCCCTCATTGAAAGCAAAAGTATAGAACTACTACTACTGCTACTACTACTACTACTACTACTACTACTACTACTACTACTAATAATAATAATAATAATAGGAAGAAGAAGAAGAAGAAGAAGGAATGATTAAAATTGTCACAGAGATGCGTTTGATTCAGTGTGTAATTTCATTCAAGACTAAACATTTTCAGCATAAAGCCCCCATTAACAAATACTCAAAAAATAGTGGGTAGAGAAGTAATTTTTGAAATGTAGATAAATCCGCAACAAACCAAATCAATCGAATTCGGCTAAACTAGCTGTCTGGTCGGTTCCCGAAATCAAGGTATAGTTATTAGTGTCTATTTCGTGTTGATTTTTTACTCACTCTGTGAATATTTCTTTTTTTATTATACTGTCTTCATTTTACAACACTTTTTTTTGTTTTTTGTTGTAAGCAATAGTGCAGTTATCGTCCTTGTGAGAATATACGTTGTCTTGGTCAGTTCCCCAGAGTGGGTATGAGCTATGTAATAGAGGCTACAAACAAACAAACAAACAATAATACTGGCGGGATAAATCAACGTAAACATCATATACAACGCCTCACTTACACAACATACGGCATCTCGATATCCTCTCTAACGCGTATGATTTGATTATCTACAGCCAACGGCTATCCCAAGAACCACTGTCGCTTCAGATCATTGACGAACCGGTTATAATGAAGAGTTAACGGAAGCGCCGTCTCACTACCACGTATGGCGAAGAATTATGTTGTGTATATACGGTGCCACCACCTTGCTTGTCCCGTATATATAATAAATGAATTAGCAAATAGTATGGTTTACCATATTTACCTCGGGAGCTTCGCCCACTTATCATCATTAACTTAATGGATATGGCGAGATTGTTAACATTTTCTGCATTGTTATTGTTTTCAGCCGATGGTACAAAATCCAATGCCATTTGGCCGCTACGTAATCGAAGTGGGAGTGCCAAGAATATGAAGCAAAGCTCTCCTTTTATTTCCCTCCAGTTTCGGCGGCACCATTCACGTATTATCGGCTTTTTTCCGTGCGCTCGAGTGTGCGAGTTTATATTACTCACTATAGTACATCTTACTGGAGAGTAGCGGTGATTACAGTAAAGAAACAGTTCGCATGCGCTCACCTTTCCAATGTTAAGTGTGCTGGGAAATTGGAAGACTACCGGCTGGCCGCACATGATGTCCCCGGCTACGTGCAGGCCAGTGCAGTCTCCAAGTGGCACCATAGAGGTGGCAGTGTCTACGATTTCTCCAAATATGCCACCGAAAATGCTGTTACCAATCTTCGAAATCATCTTCATGCCACCACCGACAGTCTTGCATAGGGAGAAGATCATGTCGACCAATGAACCTGACGATTTAATAGAAAACTTGAGCTCAGGCAAATGCTGCATTTCGATACAGTCCATCTTTTCGACAACCGAGGCAGAAATGAGCATTTGAACGCTAACAATTGCATCTGAATGGCGGTATGAGACGAATTATTGTTTCCATTTTTTAGAAAGAGTCTGAGCATATCAAAGACGTACCTGGCTAGCAGCATTCCATCAAGTGTAACTCATCATTGGAAAAAAATAATGGACCAATGTCTCTCATATTCCCACACGAAAAAAATTCAATGTTAAGTACTAAAAACGTATGCTTGGATATTACGTTAACGAAAAGCGCAAAGTACTAACTAACCGGTAAATCTAGAACAGACGCATCAAAAAGCGCACACTATTCAAAAGTTCCTTTTGCACATCGCTCATATACATGTGTTGTTTCAGAGAAGCTTGTAATAATGCAACAGTCTTGTATGTCTGGCGAGTTGAAAAATTAACTTCTGTGTATGTGACCACGAGATTGCAGAAGCAACTTGCTATGCGCAAGTGAATGGATGAGGTAAATTGTACCTGCCGCTCTTAGTAACGTGAAGTTTTACAGTTGCGAAGAACATCCTTGAAACAGAAATGAACTACTGCAGCTTAGGGTGATTTAAAACGAAATGGTGAGTATGGTCTAGTATATCGAAGTTCGTTGTAATCAAATATGATGGCTTAATGAGGATGAAGTGGGTATAGCAAGAATTCTAGTTCACTATAAGGAGGAGTAACAAACTCTCTCCTAAAGTTGTCTAGTTATTAATGAGGGCAACTCAGACATTTTTTCAGCAGATGTAATAATATCGAAACACCGTTTGTTGACATATAGAAGGTGTTGGAAAATTTTTACTAGTGCGCATTTCTCGCTGCCAAGAACCATTATGCTTGCAGTCTATGAAAACCTCTTGTTGTTCCACATCAACTAGCGTAATCTATATAGCCTGGGGCATGAAAACCATGAGCTTGATACAATAAGGAATTACACGAAATACAAAAAAAGAATGGCTGGCACCAGTGCAATCACACAGCTCCACTTGAAGAAACGAACGTACCAATCCCATAAACATACCAGCTCAAGATTTGGGTACATGTTAAAAAACCCCAGGTGGTTGAAAGTTGCGAAGCCCTCCACTACGGCGTCTCTCATAATCATGTGGCGGTTTTACGACGTTAAACCCCACATATCAATTATCAATCAAAAAAATTGCCCGCAGCTTCCCTCGGGGGAACACTGAGGAGGATGCGGACCATATAATTGGTTAACGGTGTGTTAAAGTGCGACTTACTTGGGTCGATGGCTAAATTGGTTAACGTGGTTGTGAAATGGGGTGTTAAATTGCGACTTACTTGGGTCGATGGCTAAATTGGTTAACGTGGTTGTAGGAGGGGGTGTTAAATGAGTGAACACGTACACACGTATGCGAAAGGGCGGCGCTGGTCGAAGGGACGTCGATCATTGTGTTTGTGGATTCGTTGGAATTCATTTCACCGCGACCTTGGACGTCGACGCGCCGTACAAATCAACCGACGAGCGGCAACTGAGCGAGCGAGTGCCGACCTTGAGTATATATACAGCACGACGGCGCATGCACTGTCAGCTGTCGAATGTTCTCGAAGCGCGACGCCACATGCGCGTCCACTGGAGAATCAGGAGAATTGTAGATGTCGAACGCGGTGTGTAGAGGAGGAAGGGTGCACAGATGGTGGAGGAGTGAAGCGCGCACGGTGTGTAGAGGAGGAAGGGTTGCACAGATGGTGGAAGAGTGGGCGACGGCGCGACGGCGCATGCGCGCGCGTCAGCTGTCGAATGTTCGAGAAGCGGTGTGGACGGCGCGGACGACGCGGACGGCGCACTACAAGGCGCGAGTATAAGATGCTCCGCATCTAAAATACCAGCGCTAAGTTACGCTAAGTGCGACGCTGAATTAGAAAAAGTGAAAAGTTTTGGACATCCTTCCTATAGCCTATTGAAACGGTGGTCTTGTCTATACGCGCTTTCTGAGTTTTACCATCACTTTACGTAGAGTTCCACTTTCACGAAAGAATAAAAGCAGACAGTGTTACCCTGTGCTGTGTATATTTCTACAAAACATTACAAAACAGTCAAGCCCTGCATGGTGACGTATAAACAGTGGTGACGTTTAGGAGGCCGTTCACACCGTAAAAAAATCCCTATAATCATCATAGATGAGTATGCGCCACATAAATTAGGTGACTCCTACAACTAACCAGTGGTCATCTAAAAACAAATGCAACAGCAGGCACAACAACACAAGTGCGTGCCATCACCATGCGCGTGATATGTGCCATTAAAACCACGTAAATCCCAATACATCACCCAATGAATATAAACCACTGAACACATTTTCTATCATGTCACCGATACTGTTTACTTAGAAAAAGGCTTCTAGCTATTGCTGTTTTGAGAATAAGTACAAGTTTAAAGGTGGAAACTGCTCTAAACTTCAGTGCCTTTGTTTTGAGAGATCGCCACAGGGATGCATTCATTGTGGCTTGCGATTGTGTTCAAGCTAATAAACGTATCTAACGGTATATCTTAGCTGTAACAAATACTAATGATGTAACATCATTTTAGAGTTTTGATACATATAATCTGAATGGCTAGGTTAAGTAAACACCACAATCGGTCTGCTCATATTTCAATTTTGCCATTTTTTTCTTTTTTCTCTAGTGCTCTGTTTTTTCACATATTTGTATGGTCTGTTTCTTTATTATTTCGTTAAATTTAATAATCAGTTGTAATATACTACTCATTGAAAGGTTCCTCTACGCTGTTTTGGCAATTCCGCAAGAGTAGGTGTGGGCCAGATTATTGTTACGAAGAGACGACAAATACGGGTGAATTTACAGTAACTGCTCTTGCAAAGTGATTGTGGCTGCAGCAGCCAAGATGGCGACAACAGGAGACAACCTGTTCTATGTTTTTTCAACCTCCTCGTCCGCAGCACAAAACCTTACCCTCCGGCGGCAAAAGCACCACCTCCGTGCATCCAAACCACTGCACAAATCAAGACAGTTGTGAGAATGGGCACTATGCACATGCGTCGGTAGGTCGGTGTGCGACAGGACTTCAGACACACTACGTGAACGATGTTGGTATGGTGATTTCGACTGGAACGAATAAAACGGTTCATAGGACACCTTAGTCACTTGGCGGCATGCACGGTATCGGTCCGTGGACGGGAACAGAAACTTCTTAAAAGCCCAGCACTACGCGCTGAAGACCCAATAAGTAGAATATCTCTAAGAAGAAGTAGGCGTTCCTGTGGCGGCTATTTAACGACATTGCTGTCTTTTTTCGAGTCGGTCCACAGCTTCTTGAGCGTAATGAGTAAGCGGGTGCGTAGAAGAAGGCAACATTAAGTCCATAGGCTACGCTGGGTTTAAGCCGAACAAAAAAGATAAAGGAGAATAACCAGTCATATTGCGCCAGGACGTGTTATACGCAACCATGACAGAAGCCAACGTGAATCCCAATATTCGTGGTCGGGTGACACGTACATTGTCAGCATGCCGGTAATGATTCAGTTGATCCGCTACGATAGGCCTGTAGATGGTTAGCCGTTGTTAGCTAACGCTTGGACATTGCTTACCCTAGGATGTTATTTATGACCCTGGAACAAATCTGCCTATAACGGTGGCTCAAAATGTGGCGCAGTGCCCCTTGCTGAATAATAACATTGCGGGACTGAAATTCCGCTACATTGGTTGGGCAGCTGGTTTAAGTGCGCGAAGAAATCGAGACCGCTTGTCGTAGTTTGTGGGAACAGTGATCCACCAATTCCCAGCCAGATGTAGGGAATGGACCAAGAAGTCCAGGCTTACTTGATGAAAGGGCTCATATGGTACGTCGAGGGATTGAAGACGGACCGCAAGCGGGAGTGTTGACATCTTCGAGAGCTGACAATGGTTGCACGAGGTCACGTAACGACGGACTGACGAATACATTCCTGGCCTGTCTAACTCACGACCTGCATGATAAAGGTGCGGGAAACAACGATGTGCCCGTCAGTTGTCACAACATGAAGCTGTGCCAGAATAGTCGAACGAAGGTGTACCGAAATTACAAGCAAGAGTTTCGGGCCATCACGTATAAACTGCGGCGAAGCAAAGTCCCATCTGTAGCACGAAGACATGAAGGGATGAATCAGGAGCCGGTGAGTTTAGGTGGTTGAGAACACGCTGAGAACACCGCCGATGCCATAACCACTGGCATAGGTTCCTACTTCGATGGGTGCTCAGTCGTCAAAGTGGGCCAACATAGGGTGCGATGTGAGTCAGTCGGTGAGACGAAAAAATCCCGACGCTTGTTAGGGGCATCAGGAGAAAGGCACGTCCTTTTGAAGAAGTCATGTGAGGGGCTGCGAAATCTCTGCAAAATATTTTACAAAGTAGGCGAAATATTGAGTATTGACCAAAGCGAACAATTTTGAAGGAACGTGGAGGGAGGAAGTTCAAAACGATGCGTAGCAATTTCTGGGCCCAGTCGTAAACTCACAGCTTCAACAAAAAGGCCAAGCACAGTGCTCTCTCGGTGGTCAAAGCGGAATTTCGAAGAGTTGAGCTGAAGAACTGCAGCGCGCGAGACATGCAGTATAGCCGATAAGCGTTCCAGGTAGCTTGTGAATGTAAGTGAAAAAACGACGAGATCGTCGATGTAGCAGAGTAATGTGGACAACCTAAAACCCCGAAGTAAAGCGTACAAATTACGCTGAAACGTTGGTGGGGCATTACACCGCCAAAAAGTCTTGACCTCAAACTGGTAGAGCCCATCAACAGCTATTTCCGAATAGTCTGAGGTAATGTCTATAGGATAAAATCATCGCGCGCCATGACAAAATTCAAAGGTGTCTATTCAGTGCAAGACGCAGACGTTTCTCTTAGCGATCTTCTTGAGGGGCCAATAGTCGATGCAGAACCACCGTGTGTTGCCTTTCTTCTTTACGACAATGACACAGAACGCCCA